TCATGGCACCCGTGCCAGGAAGCTCAACATCATCTGCTCCTTGCTGGTAGCTGTCACCATGGTGGTCTTCATCACCGCCTTCATCATCATCATGGTCACCATCACCACCTCCACCTGACTGCCACCACCTACCCACGGGGTGCTTCCCTTCCTCCTCCTGCCCCCCAAATGTGCCCACTCTGGGTGCAGGGGTTGAACTCCATCCCCTTGCTGCCCACACGTTGGGTGTCCCCACACAGCCAAGGTAGGGTGCAGGGGACAGCCCCCCTCTTTTCCTGGTGCTGTGTCACACCTGTCAGCCGCTGTTGCCACCAATAAAGCTTGTCCTGCCAAAGCCCTTGTAGTCACCTCATTCTCTGTGGGATGGAGCAGAGAGTCCTCGTGCATCTCTGTGGCACTCTCCTTCTCCTCTTCCTCCTCTCCCTGCCTCCATCCCACCGTGGGGCAGAGTGCTACCAGCCCAGGTCCCAGGAAGTTTCTTCATAGAAGTCTGGGCATGGCAAAGAAAGAAATTAAAGACCCTCTGTGATTTTTGGCTGCCCACGCCCCCCCACCCTGCAGCCCCATCTCCCCCCACTTCCAGGGAGCACTGTAGATGCAGTCGTTCTACCTTTTCATTTTAACTTCCCATTACATCCATTCAGCAGCCAAAAAGTGTTGCCAAGGAGGGCTCTGCCCTGCCGAGCACACCTACAGGGATGGGGCTGGAGGTACCTGTGCCAGCCAGCACCATGGGGGTCTTGACACAAGGGTCTGTCTTGGAGTGACCATCACGCAGTGTCAGAGTCACCCCATGGCTCCATAGCCATGCACTCACCTCTGCCTTGGTCACTCTGGAGCCATCCCTTCTCCTCATCACAGGAGGAAAGCTGGCTATAAAAAGCCTGCATGCTCTCCATCCCAGAGTTTCTCCCAGCTCCCAATCCAGCCTGTGGGACAACCACATCCCTCAGGGCTGTAATTCCCAGGTCTATATTTAGCAGAAGGCCATGCATGCGGCACTGTGGGGCTATAAAAGGGGCTCCTCATCATGCTCCCCCAGATTGCTGGAGCTGCGAGTGCCCCTCTCTGTGGCCATGGACACCTCGTACCCACGGGAGGATGAGCCACCTGCCAAGCGACGGACTCCCCCCACTGCCCCCCTGCCCCGGGACCACCTCATCTGGGCCATCTTCAACACCCTCTACATGAACTTCTGCTGCCTGGGCTTCGTGGCACTTGCCTTTGCTGTTAAGGTACTGCAGCATCTGGGGATCCCTAGGGAGGGATTCCTGAGGAGGCACAGAGCATCTGGGATAACTTCTGGGCAGGCTGGGGCAGGGGCCAGAGCTCAACACCTTCCAGAGCAGGTGACACAAGTGCCTGGCAAAGCACACACCCACACACTGCACAGCTTTTCCTGCCACCTATTAAGGAGGTTGTGGGATACTCCGGACAACCACAGCCCTCTGCCCACCCTCTGAGGACCAGCTGCTTTGTCCTAGAAGGTGCTGGGGGGACATGATGCCTCAAGTCCCTCCCCCAGCCCTCTGGCAGGAGCAGCTCTGGCTGGGTTGGACCAGGGCAGAAAGCTGGGGGCAAATGGGCTGGAGTCAGCAAAGCTCCAGGAAAAGCAGGAGGGGAAATCTCAGCTCCAGCTGGGCTGGACCAGGGTGGAAAGACAGGGGCAAGAAGAGGCTGGAGCCAGCAGGGTTCTGGAAGAAGCAAGAGGGAAAATCTCAGAGCCGAAGGAAGTGGGGCTGGAGGGGAGCAGGTTCATGGAGCTGGGGCAGCCTGGGATGGATGGTCAGATGGATGGATGGACAGATGGATGGCTAAATTGTGGGCTGCAAGGGGATGAAAGCCCTGGGGTGAGGCTGGGAGAGGCACAGGATGGGGCTGTGGGAAAAGGCTTCAGGAGGGGCTGCAGGGGGGAGTTATGGGAAGGGGCTGCAGGAAAAGGCTGCAGGAGGGGCTGCGGGAGGGGGCTGTGGGAAGGGGATGCCGCAGCCCGGGCACTGCTGCCTGTCTCTCGGCAGGACACACGC